CATCTAATTGAATGTTATCCTTTTTAGTAAGGTGCTATAACACTTTAGTTTGGCAAAAGCTGGGTGCTTTGCTGGTCCTTGTCGAAATGACACCATCGAACGGGTGAAAGAAAGGGTGGCTTTCCCAGCAAATTTGACATGCAATGCAGCTGTAACCAACGGAAACGCAAATTTCCAGATCGTAATATGCATCGTGCGGAGTTGCGCGCTGGTCTCGCTGTGGCAAGACTCCAGTGGCGTCACGTCAGCGTTGGGCGTATGGGGTGCTAAAAAACGGTCAGACGTACTTTTTTACGTCCTTGGCAAGGCCAGTGAGATTGGCCAGATTGAGATTGAGATTGAGATTGGCCAGCGTTGAGAAATTACACACGGCGCAGAATTTTACAACTAGAATTCTACAACCTTCGTTAGTTTTATGAAACAGCTGGAAGTTGTAGTTTGTACATTCTAAATTACAACTTACAAATACAAACTATTTGTAACAACTCTTTGTGAGAAAGGCTACTGGTGAGCCCATGAGCGATCAAGAGAGCCGGAACAGTTTCACAGAGAGGACTCCGAGAAATGAAAGAGTGCAGACTCCACCAGCAATGAGAGCACATGAAAAGAGAGTTAGACCAATCCAGAGGGTCTCTGAGCATCGAAGACCTCGTTACGTTACTTATGAGATCAAAACATCAGCGTAGGGCCCTCCGCACGAGCGAAGGGAGCCCGACACCAAGGTGAAGGGCCACTGAGACGTGTTAAAGGGAGTGTTTTACATTTATATCACTTGTTTAACTAAGACAGCCATCTTTAAAATCATTCCGCACATTTCACAGTCCTTTTGAAGAACTCTTGTTTCTGAGCTTGACGCCCGCGAAGTTGGGCAGACTATTTCAGGGTCATCAAAGGATACATGACGCCATAGAAAGGTCAACGAATACTGCCACCTCTACGATCGCGCAATGTTCATGGTCAATACCAAACACGATCATCGAGGTATCCGTGTCTGGCGTACATCGATAAAACTTCTGGCATCATCGAACTTCAGATGACCCCCAACCAATGTGGTGCATCTGGTGCAAGTTTCGATTGCGCTTTGTCAAGTCACGATAAAGTCACGATCACGTATCACGTTTTGTGCCACCTAATGCAGGAAACTGGGCATTGATACGAGTTACGACGGGAACGAGACTGGAACTTGAATTCCAGGATCCGGATACTCCAACTTGACACGACCAGTCCGACAGTGACTTGACGCGGTAAAGACGCTCCATGCCGTAATCAAACGATGACACGCTGAACAGCATCTGTACCAAACAATGCATTTTTCTTGTCTATAGCAGTCAAGGTTTAAAAGCAGCCCGAAAGTTAGAAGTGAAACTATTTCATCGTATACGATAGTTGCCTCAATATATTCAAACGTGAAACATTCCCTTTAAACCGCGCCTGGCCGGGGGAGTTGACTTCCCATTACAGTTTTTCGAGCACAGGTAAAAAAATAAACGCGTGCGGCAGCACGAAATTTTCAGCACCTATTTATCGCTCAATTTGGCATCCTTTGAACAGACTAGAACTTTTGGTAGAGCAAGATCCGTGAATTAGGTCAGATCAGAGAAGTCAGCCTCTAAAAAAATTGGTGACAACTTCTTGTGGTTTATCTACCATTATTCAAACTTGTGGTAGTAAGAGAATGTCGTAGCGCCTACAGCCTGCTTATTTCAGATTTCTTGGAATATGTGAGTTTAGTGACCTGAGGGCAAGTCTATTTTTGCTATTTTTCGTAAACAATGCAAATTTGTATGTCTTGTGTACTTTTTGGAGTTTGTATACAAATAAAAAAATGTTCACTAACATACACAACCATCATATGAACACAGAGCACATGACCTTGGCCCAGGTCATGATCTTACCCCACTGATACTTACTGCAAAACACATGCTAAGCTTAGAATATGCAGTAAAAGTTGCCTTCAAAGGCAATTTTGGACGCCGAATTTGAACGCTCGACTGAAAGCATGTTGTGATGCTATTCTTATGCACAATGAGGTCACAATAATTATGTGAGAGCATGCAAGGTCATATGAGGTTATCCAAGGTAAATGACCTATGTTGCCAGTAGCACAGATCAAATGAGCGAGTGCGCCGCGAGTAACCCCCCCCCCCCCCTCCCCCACCTTATCGTGTTTGTGAAGCCGATGACGTCTAATTTCATGTACCAGCATACCCGCTCTTACTTCGTTACAAATATGCTGTCGGCCGTCGAAGAAACTGTGTATAATGTAGACATCAGCTATGCAATCTTGAGTACCTGTAGATGTACAATGCACTTCTTCTGACTACAGAAAAACACTTTTCTGGTCGCATAAACCCGGTTAGTGCTTCACATTTTTCCATTTGGATGGCTTATAGCTTTGAGCTAAGTTGACCTCAAATAATCTCTATGACACCCTGACATGACATTTTTGTGTCTGAAATACTTTTCACAAAATTGCACCTAGTAAGTTAAACGTATTCAAAAGGAACATCGCGGAGTAAAGTATCATTGGTGTAGGTCACTGGTAAACGAATTTTGAACGGTGACCTGATCTCACCTCATACATGTGGGAAACAGAAATGATCGGAATGGACTCCTCACAGTCTTAACGTTGTTTCTCTGCCCTCAATATCCGTCTTGACGTGATTGCGTAGCACATAACGGAGCGACCTTTTTTAACCTTTTGTGATACCCAGTGACCTCAAATCGACCTAAGGTCAAACATTTGGTTACATTCATCATGATTTGACGAGGTTTCCAAAACGGCATCTTTAGGGGAGGTCATCTTCTGCCCCGGCCCCTCATTCTCGCTTGCGACCCTTCCTAGCCGCATTAAGGCCCAAAAGAGTCAAATTGTTCGTAGACAACGACATGGAAAATACCCCGCGCCACATGACATACATAAGGCTGCATGAGCTATGCCGCCCAAAAGTGAGATTTTGATAATTTAGAAAAAACACGCAAAAACAAAACATATGATACGAAAATTATACGTGAAACAATGGTGGCCGCTATTGGCAATGTCACAAAGAGCTAAGGAAAGCAAGAGCTGGAGCTAACAAGATCGTGCTAAAACAAAGAATGCATACGTATATCTCGCGTTGGAAGGAGCGCACCAGGTATGCTAAAGTAAGGTATGGTGTTTTGCCAATCGCAAACGGGTTCTGAATTTTCTGTGAACAGCCGTACGAACATGAGCTGGTTAGACGAAGCCCCATCCACTTTCCTTGGTTGTTTAACGTCATACCTATGGTGATACATGTATGGAATAAACTTGACATCTATTTTGATGATGCGGATTTCGTTTGCAATTCCCTGCTCTCTGAGGCCAAGGCCTGCAGTGCAAGCCAACAGAGTACAGTGAAATGGGCAAAGTAGCCACATGACCACGGCTTGTGGAATACCAACCTTAAATTACGGAGTTGCCTGCCTGTTTCACGACCGGTAGTGGATAAAACTTAGACGGAACACAATGCGGGCACGGCAGCCTATGTATAGCACGACCCCGATCGGTGCACCAGACCCCACTGAGCCACCTTTGCAGCCACAGCAGGCTATAGCACGACCTCGCTCATTCCACCAGACCCCACTGAGCCACCTGTGCGGCCACGGCAGCAGCCGGTGCGTTGAGGACTTTTCCCGACTCAAGCTCACCAATGTCAACCTCGGGGACAACGACGGCAACACCCCGCTGCACTACGCCGCCCAGGCAGGTCAGTGATCCCGCCAGGTCAGGAAACGGCGGCCAGTGACACCATGTGAGGTCGGAGAGATTGGTTGGGGTCCCATGTTTAGGTCAGAACGCAGCGGTCATTAACCCCACGTGAGGACAGACTCAGGACGTGCAAATTAGGGCGTGCACGTGGTCCGACCGCGGCGGCATCAGTCAGCGACCCCCATATAAGGTCAAAACACATTGCTGAGTGAGCGGTATGTTCAGAACACGGTCTCAGTCAGTCTCTGTCTCAGCCTCGTCTCAGTCTTGCGCGGACGCATCGATAGGTGATCTTTCGCGATTTAAGGATCACTCCGTCATGTCGGGACACCACAGGAATAGCGCCTCCGCGACTCAGGATGCACCATCAAGTGACCCCTCCAATATGTCAAGTCACGTTGGCCGATGACGAGTTCGACGAAGTGAAACAATGACATTTTGAAGAAGGAAGAACGTGGCATTTTGGATTGAGCGACTAGGGTATAGCCAGGAAGTCTTTTCGGCACAGCATGTGGATTTAATATTTGCAACCTCCTGAACATGCATATTAGTCTGCATTGGAGAGGTACAGTTTGATTGTGAATGATTTGTATGCTGGTCTTATTTGTGACGTCCGTTATTTTCTAAGGACGATTATTCATAACACTTTTTCGATTGACGCCATTGTTTGATTAACTCTTAAGCAACCAGTGTTGTATGAGACTGTGTTCGTCCTGACGTAAGAGCGTTCCTCCAGGGCACGCCGAAGTAGTAAGCGCATTGCTCAACAAGTTTGACGGCATTGAAGTGGATGCCAGAAATAAGCAAGGCATTACTCCCCTCATCAAGGCATGCGTTCAAGGCAAGGCAAGATGTGCAAAGCTGCTTGTAGAAAAAGGTAATGTGTAGCACACTCACACAGAGTATCCAAATAACCTCCAGCTACCTGCTACCGAGCTCTCGCAAGTCTGGGTACAATCTGTCTGCAGACAATCGTTCGGTCGGGTGGCGATATTGTATGAAAAAATCGCGCTCAAACTCGTCAGCAGCATACGGCGGTGGCGGATAGAGCAGCGACAGCGGCGTTGCCCGCTGACGAACTGTCATATGGTGACAGGTGCTGACCCAGCGGCCCGGGACCCCCGGCGCGCTCTGACCAGCGCCGAGTGGGCCTACATGTGCGGCTGGCCAGCCTGCGCCCGCCTGCTGGAGGCCCACCAGCTGCTCACCGGTCCCGGTCCCAGCGCGGGCCCTGGGTGCAGCCGCGGGGCGGGAGCGGCGGCGTTAGCCAGCTCCGCCAGCGAGCCGGACCTCCGCGGCGACCCTGACCCTGCCTGGCTGCGACGGCGCTTCCTGGACCTGGGCGCAAACAGCCGCCGCGCTAGTCTGCCCGCTCGGCCCGCCACCTGCCGGCCAGCCCAGCCCGCTACCTGGCGGTCAGCCACCGTGCCCAGCATCCGCGTGCTGGAGGTGGAGGCACCCATCGACCCGGTCGTGGTCCGCTACGGCGATCCAGTGCCGCCTGAGCAGTGCGTCCGACAACAAAACCAGGTGGGTCTTCGCCACACTCAGCTTCCTTACGACCCTCTATGAAGCGCAGTTGCCTACAGCCTGCAGCGATCAGGAAGCTCGGAAAGGAAGCATGTTATTGCTTTTGTACAGGCCTAGAGATCTACAAACGTTAAGTAACGGATACTGACATCCATCTGCGTGCATTTTTCTGGGAGAACAACCGTTTTTCTTGCAAACTGTACCCATTGGCAATACGGTTCGCGCTGGTATCAATGCCACAGCCGGAAAGCTGCGTCAGGTTAGGCAGGCTGACTACTGACTGCTGGGCTTGCGCGCGTCACCAACGCTGTATCACTCATGACAGGTAGCGGGCGTGCGTAGTTATACAGGTACTGCAATCCTCGCATGGAATAAAAATGGCTGCTCTATTTATAAGCCGCGGTGAAAATATAAGACATTTTTGACGGCACTCTGTCGCTTTCCAGTGTTGGTGCATGCATGGAAAAAAATGCCGTGGGAGTGTGAGAACACCCTACATTTAGATTGACGACAATCCCGAAGCACTGGATTCATGCTATCAAAGCTATGTCTCAATCGTTATAGGGCCGTCTCTGTTCTACTACCTCCGTCACCCTTGCGGCTTAGGGTGTGCCCACCAGTCGTCTGCGTCATTTGTAAGCTCAAAGTGGCGTTTATTACAACAAAACATGCCCCTTGAGGATGGCCGCTACTTTGGTACTGAGCTAATTAATTCCTGATTTCTGTTTCAGGTTGTCACACTCTGCCTTCCAGGAATGGGAAAGGAATTTGCCTACGAATGATGCAGACATGCTCCAGTCACAGCCCAGTCCTGTGTTCACACGACTCTCCGTGGATTGTGGAGGAACATCCGAACAACTACGGGCAATGTTAACCGTCATCGCATGAAAACGTGGCGGGCGTATCTTAGGACTGGAAGCGTTCGGTAAATAGGTTTCTTATATTACGTGCTTTCCTGAAGCTTTGTTAAGAGCGAACTTAAGTAATGCATTCTGTCAGCGCTACAGCACCCTGTCTCACGAGAGCTGCCTGCACCTTTCTGGAGAGTCCAGGTAGTTATCGCGGTCTACAAGAGACAGGTCGGACGACCCCTGCGTACATCCGTACAGCAGTCGGCTCACCAGGTCGCAAGACACCCAGATGAGATCAACACGTCATCATGCATCCAGGGGCCCCGCGGTGACACGCCACACACCGGAGTCGATGCCGCGACTCGCATTACCAAATGTCTACCAACATGTTACGCACTGAGCAAAAATGTGAGGTTTTTAGCGCACGTCAGGCAACGAGGTTGTGATTCTGAGCTATGCGTGCGCATGTCATGTCGCTGGAAGATGAAAGCCGGAATGGTGAAGCCAGTTGAGGACAAGAGGTTGTGACCAATAAAGCGACGCGGTTTGCTCGCGGTCCGCCTTGAATCTCGATGGTACGGTTGACGGACCACCTGCGTTTCGCAACCAACAGGATGGCAATAGGATTAGATGCGTAACCAACGTGGCCCGCTGCCGATACAACGCCACGCAACCGCACCCATCGGAAATGTTGTTGGTGGGCTGCAGCTGGGCTGTACCGTGAAATTAAATGTTCGCAACGCGTCAAATGCTGTGGGACTCGCGTTTCATTGCTACAGTGAGTGCGGGAAGACCGGGCGTTGTGCAATCAACTCGATGGTCTCGTATCTTCCTGAAACTCTCTTATGCTTGCTAGGAATGGGGAAATCATTCATTCATATTCACGGAAGCTTTCCGTCTATTGCCGATGCATCTCCACACTATCGCAATGCATGAGTATGATCGAAGTTGAATGTGGCCCAGCACGCGAGCATCTGCGCCTGCTCTGTGCCAGCATTTAGCAGCCACTGTCACGTGCCCGCACGAGGGCAATGCCACACGCTCGGCGCGCTGCGGTGAATGGGGAGAGCTCCGTGCAAACCACCGGCAACAGCCCGGGCATGGGCGGCGAATGACGCCACGCAAGCTGCCTGACGTCACGCAGGACCGCCTGAAGCAGGACCTGACGTGACACGGGACTGACTAACGTCACACAGTGCCGACTGACGCCACACAGGACACACTGATATCACGCAGGATCGACTGACGTCACGCAGGACCGCTTGAAGCAGGACCTGACGTCACACAGGACTGACTAACGTCACGCAGTACCGACTGACGCCACACAGGACACACTGATATCCCGCAGGATCGACTGACGTCACGCAGGACCGCCTGAAGCAGGACCTGACGTCACACAGGACTGACTAACGTCACGCAGTACCGACTGACACCACACAGGACACACTGATATCCCGTAGGATCGACTGACGTCACGCAGGACCGCCTGAAGCAGGACCTGACGTCACACAGTACCGACTGACGTCACACAGTACCGACTGACGCCACACAGGACACACTGATATCCCGCAGGATCGACTGACGTCACGCAGGGGCGACTGACGTCGCGCAGGACCGCCTGACTAGTCATGTGATGGCCCTGCACGAAAGATGAGACCGCGGTTGAAACCACAACCGAGAGCTGAGCAGGTGCGACAGGATTAAAAGTAAGACCTGACATCACGACCGACCACGTCTGACACCATGGCACACCAGGCCGACACCGAAACTGACAACATGTGACCGACGGCGCTGCATCGGCCTGATGCTATGCCTGACAGCAAGTGGCCGTCGGCACCGCACAAACATGCCACCGAATTCACCCTCCACCACGGTTGGGAGCGTGAGTGCGGGTGTACCGCACTGAATGGAATACGTGCAACACACGATGCGTTGCGTGTCCTGTAATGCGAGGTTCCCGCAGCCGTCGTAACACGCCTCCCTCATCCGATGCCCTGAGATTCAGAACCCCTAGCCCTGAAATGGGGGTAGTGTATCACAAACACAGACAGTGGCACCATTTTGCAGTTTGCCATTCAGCCGATTCGTCTTTTTGACATGTAGAGCTTTATACATGGCAGTTAGCAGTCCACTAAAAGGCATTTGGCAAACTGCTATTCGACGCTTTTTCCGAACGCAAATTTCGTCATGGTCTCCTCGAACGCTCATACATACGAAATCAAATAAACTGACGACCCGTCTTGCTTGCATAGTTTCCCTGTGAAAGTGTCGCCCACTACCACGCATTATTCGCTATTACGTGCCATTGGGCAACGAAGCACAGTCCTTGGGCGATCCCTCCTAGCTCCCCTTCACCCACCTGTGTTTCTTTGCATGGCACATGCATTTCTTAGCTGCGCACATGCTGAGCACTGCCGGATGTCTCGACAAAAAGTCAAATGGGAACAATTGGAACGAAAAAAATTGAGCGACAGAATTCAACAGGAATAAGAGTTGATTGGCGTAAAAGTGGAATTGGAGTAAGACGAGTGACACCAAGCAGAAAAGGCTCGATCTACATCTTTAGCGTTACTTCGTTGATGGGGTTATGAAATCGTTAAGTTTCTAGAAAACGTTATCCCCAATGTTTGCACCTAGCTATAATTTCGATAGGTTCAACGCCAAAAGGCAGCTTCGGTGTGTTAGTAATAATTCTTTTCGGGAATGTTTGCTTTAATGTTTTGTCTGCATTAAACGCGACTCTTACGTCTGCCATTGCCAAAATTTGTCGCAGCCTTTTTGTGGTAATGTTTGTTGGCGCCCATACAATCTGGGCCATGAGTCGCGTGTGGCGAATTGGCGTCGGCAAAAAAAGAAGAAGATAATAATGTCACGCATCGTCCAACGTGAAAGTCCCTTAAGATGCCTAAGAGTAAGTACACAGTCCACGAGGAATACCTAGTTTAGATACTAGTTTTGATCCTGTACTGATTGTCTTTGGCATAGAAAGACAGGGTGACGGGCGGCGGCGCGTTCCAACTTTGGTGAACCCTGCTTTGCTCCCTCCCCCCCCCCCCCCCTGGGCCTCCACACACACACCTGCCCTGGGGAGACATTTATCACTATCCCCATAGCGACAGTGGTGAACTTAATGAATATCTCGTACGTTTCAGCCCCCGCCTTTTTGTAAGCTACCACATCCCTGGGTTTGCGTCATTCAAGCCCACTTGCATCAACACTGATATCTGGTGACATTTCATGCGAACTATCCGACGCTGTTGTTTTGCGTCGCTCCAGCATGTTCAGCTCTTGAGATAGGAGTGCCTGTGAGTGGTCTCGTCGATCGGAGCGGAGAGTGACGCTGCCGAGCAGCGAGGGCGCTCCTGCCCGTCTACGCCAGCTCCATCACCTGAGCCAGACAGCCGCCACTGACCCGGCTGGCTCATTCCCGCATCGCGGCCCGGGTCGGTAGGGCAGGTCAGGCCAGGTCAGCGGGTCGACCCGGGTCAGCGGCGCGGTACCGGGGTACCAGGCCGTCAGGGCCGACGGCCGGGGTACCAGGCCGTCTCTTAATGGTCCCGGAAGGCTTGTCCTAGTCTCCGTGTCAGGCCGGAGATGACTCGGGTATCTTCAAAGTTTTCGTTGATCAGGATGAAATTGAGTCCTTTGTAAACTTACATGACTTGCAGTCAGAGATGAATCAATAGTGTTGACTGCAATCACTGATTAGTGTACTCGGATAGAGACACGAGAAACGTCCTTACCTATTTTATTTAAGGGCACAGAGTGTGGCACAGATAAACGCAACACAGTCGCTTTGCTGTTATGTTGCCAAGGCGCATGCATTACGCAGGCTATTATGCATTCGCCATGTATCCGAACTTAAACCACATCTTCTTACGCCATG